TTGCTTGTTTGTAGGTGACCAAATACTTATTTTCCACCATTATTTGCAAAAAAATTCTTTCAAAGTCAGACAAAATGATTTTCTCAAATTTTTTTTCACATTTTGTCTCTCATAGTTGAGGTCTACCTATGATGTCAATTACAGGACTCTCTCATCTTTTTAAGTGGGAGAACTTGCACAATTGGTGACTAACTACTTATTTTCCCCACTGTAGTTACTTGATTTTGGTATTAAATTAAACTAAAGGCCTGAGAAATGCACAATATTGGCCCTTTTATCCTAATATGGTCAAAGACAGAAGATCTTTTGCTACTGAAACAAGAGTGTGCTTAATTTTATAAAATTATCAAAAAAAAAACATAAGAAATTCCATTTAGGAGTCTGAAGATGGAAAGCAGAACAAAACAGCAACACAGCAAGCAAAGTAATTTTATTATGGGTGATTTTTTTTCTTTAAGAACAGCAGGACTCTATCTGAACCAGCTGTACCCAATCATGTCAGCTTTAACCTTTAACAGCTTGAAATGGAGCACTTAGGATTTTGAAATCTCTGAATGTTGCAGTGACACCTTGGGGGTGAATCAGCTGTGATGTTCACTCCTGAGGTCACTGGGCCTCTACATGCTCCATCTGAAGCCGAACAGTTGACACACAGTCATGTGGTTTGGTGTTTGTTTTCGCACACTCCTTTCAAAGTCCGAGACACATCACGCCAAGCTCCCGGCAAACTCCTCCCACTGCAGTACACGTCACTGCACAGGTTTTCTTCCTGCTGGAGTCCACACTTCAGGGGAAAAAACAAACCCTCTGATCGCCTTTATCTGTCCTCAAATCTGTCCCATCTGCAAATCGATTGCTTCAGTTTTTGTAAAGGACACGGCATCATGAGTTTTGGTTGTTGCTAAACGGAAGTGTTAATTTTTTTATTCAAATTTAGGACTGAATAAGGACAGAAACATGTTGAAACATAAAAACATTGAGTGTTGGTCGCAAAGCACTCTGCTTCCTGTGTAAAATGTCTTGACTCCAGCAGTGAAGGGAGGATTAACCTTCCCTGAAACGAGCTCGTCAGTTGAAGCTGAACAGGTCTAAAGCTGGAGGACGACTGCCAGTCTTCATCTTGACCCAGGGGGTCCAGCGATCGGCCTCTCTCAATCCTGGTCTGAAGGAGCTGATGACTCACTCTGCCTGCTCCGGGTGTCTGTAATTATGCTGGTGATTTGCTCTCATCTCCTTGTGTTGTTGCATTTCCATGTTAAAGTGTTAAAGTGCAGCCCAGTTTGATCCCTCGTTAAACACAAGAGGCCGTTTACTGACGGTTCAGTGGAGACAAAATGCCAGCAGATAAAGGCCACTGAACGTTCTTCCAGTCATTTACCATCACTGTGGGATAATTAGGACTGTTTTATGGGTGATCACAGTTTTCTACTGAAGGACACTTTGATTTAAAGTCTTTCTTTAAAAGTTCTGAACTGGGTTTTCATGAGGAGATAGGTACTGTTGAATTTACTGGAATATTAGAGATAAAACTCAGACCCCTCATTTCTCAAGCTGTTTTTAAAAAGTATTTATTTGGTCAACAGAAGGCAGGAGCAGCCAGAGGAGGGACTAAAGCCAAGCTGAGGCCTGCAGAGGTGGACGACGTGGACTCTGACAGGAGAAAAACCAAACCAGTGCAAGCTCGCTACATCAGAGGTCCACCCATCACCAAACCTCCATCACAGCCGGTAAGCTGTCGTCAGTAAGGCCTCCTTCCACTGAACCATCTCGCTTCATTAAAGGAATTAAGGACCCAGATGGTCTTTATGGGGTCTTGATAATGTTCTGGGGGATGTATTGAAATACTGTGGGATCCCCATTTCTTGTGGTAATGAGGTCTTTGAACCTGCAGAAGACGTGTAGAGATGCTGGTTTCTCATTATAATGGGTGCAGCAGTGGATTCATGGTACAGAGTTGTATGTTGTAATCTGATGTTGTTTGGACTGGCCACACCAGGAAAGGTAAAAGGTGCTTTTTGAAAATTTAAAGCAGAGGAGCCCAAAGTGGGGCCCGCGGACCAAATTTGGCTCACCATGCCGTTTGATTTGGCCCACCAACAGTTGCCAAAGTTACAAGGTTGTAACCTGTTATCCTATAGGTAGAAACAAAGTATTTCCATTGGTCAAATGATTATATAAAAGGACTGTAGTGAAGGTAGTTTTCAGTCATGGTGCTGACATATCTTTGATTTATTAGGATTAAACAAGAAACATGAAATGACAACAAGAAATATTTAGATCAGATTTAATCCTGCATGTAGATTTGCACTTTAAAAGGCCACAAAAACTCATATTTTATCAATTCATGATATGTCCCATGAGCCTTTGCTACTTGAGCGTACGGCAGACTTTCTCCAAGTGCACAGACTAAAACAAAAGAGGGCCATTGCATAGCTTAATCGTTAAAAATAAAGGACTTAACTTCAAAAAGTATTTGTATTTCATGTATTATATAACTGCATTTGGCCCGCAGCCATGGATATTTTCATTTTGGCCCCCTCGTGGAAAATGTGTGGGCACCTCTGATTTAAGGTATGATGTATTAATCATTTTTGGGATTAACAGAAAACCAAGTTTTCCATCTTTAATTAATCACTGTTATTAGTTTTATAGTAAAAAGGACGACAAACCTTTACAGACTTTGACCAAAACTAGACTTTTGGGTAACCATTCATAAAACTCAGGTACTTAGGTATAAAGCCTTTCTGAAGAAAAATATGGATGTTGATTTATTCAACACCATTAGGGGACAATCATTTTAATTATTAATGTTCCTTCAGCCATGTTTTTTCAACCACTGTTTTATCTAGAAGATATTAGAAAAACTCTCCTGTCAGATTCAAACTAGAAGCCAACTAAAGATTCATTTCACTAGTCTACCACCAGATCCCTCAGCCCCTTTTTACAAACTGTTTTTGAAGACAACAAAACAAAAAGCTAACAAATGAAGAGAACTGAAATCTGTTTTAAGAAGTTCGACATCTTTAAACATACAATTTTAAAAAATTTTCCCACCACGTTAGCGTATTTGTCTTTTCACAAAAAATAATTAAAAATTTTCATTAAAAAATTTAATTTCTGTGACCTTTTCTATGTTTGAACACGACTGATTCAGATCCAAACATATTTATATGAGTGAAGAACTGAAGTCCAGACCTAAACTGAACTGACACTCTGGATCAGGACTTGAAAACGAAAGGTTATGAATATAACCACGGTTCCTTGAAGGAATGGAATGAAGTACAACACACAGTTGTATATGGGACACGCGCCCTCGCGCGCCTGGCTGAAGCCACCTCTAATCACGCCTTTAGACCGGTGACGTTGAACGTCGGGTGACAGGCTCCGCCTTCACCCTATAAGTTAGGAGTCACCAGCGTCATTACTCAGTTAGATACCGCCCTTCACCGAGCCTTTGTGATGCGGGGCCAACAAGGTGTTGTACTTCGTTCCATTCCTTCAAGGAACCGTGGTTATATTCATAACCTTACGTTCCTTTTCAGTCATTTCACTCAGTACAACACAGTTGTCTTGTCAGAAAACAGCAGTTTCTTCCAGCGTTTTCTCCAGGAATTTCACTCTCCTCTCCAGTGTCGGACGCGAAAGTCCGGCACAGGCCCGGCAGGACTCGGGCTCCACAAGCGCCCGTCGAGCGTGAATGATTCCTAGGCAGGCCAGGCAGGCCTCATGCTGGTCCTTCTCATGAAGCTTAAAGCCGCACCCCTGAGGACAGGGGCGAACAGAAGACTTTGGCTTCTTCGAAGGTGGTTTTGTGCTCWTYGTGAACCACAAAACAGATTTTCAGCAGAAAATAAAGGTCACTTAATTAGCGTTGAGCAGCAGACACACGAACCAGCAGGTAACGCGGTTAGCACCAGTAAAGCTAGCCTAATGGTGCGTTCACACCGAACGCGATTTCAGCGTCAGGAGCAGCAGGTTTACATACAAAGTCTATGGTGGACGCGCTTCAAGCAGCGTCGGGAAGTTCTGCGGCGCCTCCAGCACGATTAGAGCAGCGCGATTTGAATGATTTGAACGATCTGAGCGTTCGACGCGCTGAGGCACAAATCGCTGAAGTTAGAAAATCTGAACTTTTGCAGCTCTTTAGCTGAAATGAGTGCCTGCAGTCGTGTCCTGATCCACAGCAATGTGTGGCAGCGACTCATCAGACTGGAAAAATAGTCCTGAAAGCGAGCTGTGAGCCTCTACTCTGAATTATCTGGTGAATTAATTATGAATTAATTATCTGATGAACGTGACATGCTCTTGCTCTCTGTAAATAAAGCAAAGCCACTTCCTCGTCTGACATTAAACAGAGCCCGACAGAGGAGGGAGGGGCGGGGAGGGTCTGCCGTGCAGCGCTTCAAGAGCTGTCCTGCGTCTGACCTCAAAGTGCACAAGCTTCAAACTTCAGCGTTGGCTGCGATTTTGAAGCTGAAATCGTGTTCGGTGTGAACACAGCATAAGAACCTTAGAAGCTGAGCTAACTAGCAGCAGCTATGTGAGCTCAGGTTTAGAGGTGACTATCGCGAGGTGAAGGACGATAGAACTGAGTAATGACGCTGGTGACTCCGAACTTATAGGGTGAAGGCGGAGCCTGTCACCCGACGTTCAACATCACCACGTCACCGGTTTAAAGACGTGATTAGAGGTGGCTTCAGCCAGGCGCATGTGCCCCATATACAAACTGTGTGTTGTACTGAGAGAAATGACTGAAAAGGATCTGATGTTCAGATGCTCTCCATCCAATCTGACTGAACTGCAGCTGCTCTGCAAAGAATTTTGAGTTAAGTACAAAGTACTTAACTCACTTGGCTCAGGGCTGCTGAATATACATATTTAGTTTTTAAAAAAACATTACAGTTCTGTTACTTTGAGTTCCAGTAAATGACTTTGAGGTGTGGTCAGAGTGTTCTGCAGGAGACAGCCAGCAGAGCAGCTGATTAAGGAAAAACTGAATCAGAAGTGGAACCAGGTTGGATTTGATCCTTCAGGTTGAGTCTGTTTGTCCTGGTTTTATTTATCAGGATGAGGTTTTCCCTGCAGTCAGACGATCACTGAGGCTGAGCTCTGCACCAGCGTCTGAAGAGGACGACAGCAAGGAGGAAAAGGAGGAAGTCCGACCTCGACCTGTTCCAGCCTGCTATCTGAGGGGTCCTCCCATCAGCCAAGACGCTCTGTCCAAACAGGTGTGAGTCCAGAAGATTCCGTCGGGTTCTTTTTCTCAACTCCAAGCATTTTGTTCTACACTTGGTCTGGTTGTGAAGATGAAAATATACACATTCAAACCGTTTCTTTTTGTTCATATCGTGAGTTTTATAAGAAGCACACATTAAATTTTAACAGAGAACTAGACCCATAAGGACTGGCAGGACAACAGAAGAGAAGACTGTGACCTGCAGGATCCAGGAGTCCCAACCTGACCCACACAGGAGACAACAAGCATGGACCCAGAGCAACGGGCAAACATACACAAAGACCAGAGGGGGTCTGGATGATGGACCACTTCCTGTCAGAGCAGACCACAGTCAGAACGGTTGGCTGCACAGAGCTGGTTCTGGCGGTTCTGGTCCTGACAATCTGAGACAGGAAGCGGTACAGGGGTCCTGTTTAGTCTACATGTGGGTCTTTCTTGTTCTGTTGGCTGGTTTTGAGTTTGCCAAATTGTTTTTAAACCCATTTAAATAAAGTTTGTGAGTTATCAGCAGGAAGTAGATGTCTGACTGAAGGGAGCCTCTCAGGACTTCTGGGTCGCCATTTTCACTGTGATGGGCTGAAACAGAAGAAATGAGTTTACTCTGAACATCTGTAAAACACTCAGACGACAGGTGTGTGAGTGTGTGTGTGTGTCAGTCAGTCAGTCAGTGAGTCAGTGGTACCTTACTGCAGTAGGGACACTCTCCAAACAAAAGGCTGAAGCTCTGCCTGCTGGAGGGGAGCACTCGCAGCCACTGCAAAGAGTGAAAACACAAACTTCAACTCTTCTTCCAGCACTCTGGATCAGATCAGTTGGAGTCACAAGATGGAGCTCAGCCAGTGCTGATATTATTTACATAATAATCTTTTTTCCCACATAAACAGTTTCAGAAACAAACCCCAACAGTTGTGTGAAGAGCTGCAGGATGTTACGTATCAGTATTTTAGTAAATATTTTGTGCTGACTTTATAATTTTGAACAGAGTTAATTTAATGAATTGAAAGAAATAAAAACACATGTCTGTTTCTGTTTATTCTACACTGTTTTACAAACGTACATTAGGTGGTGAATTAGTTTAAGAAAAGCTCTGACGCTCACCTGGAGAACAGAAACTTTAGAGTGTATTTGAATGACAGTTTGGTGGTAATGTGGTTAAACATCATACCAGGGAGTTCAAAAACACCTGGACTGTTGCTTTAAACTAGGATTACAAATGTTGCTGTGACTGTCCTCCCTGCACTGTGGAGGAGTGGACATTCAAAGCAAACACCCCCCAACCAAATCAAACAACAATCAAAAACAACAGTTCCAGTTCAATCCATGATGAGCTGGCAGTGATGCTTTCTCAAACAGGAAGTAACATCAGGAACTCCTTTAACCTCATGGAGGCCAAAATTTGGTGCTAACAGGGCAAAGGCTTAAGTCTAGGTGATGGTTATACTACATGAATGGAAGTCAACACAATGTTAAAGTGTGTGTGTGTGTGTGTGTGTGTGTGTGTGTGTGTGTGTAACTGAGAGAATACCTCATAGAGACAGGCCTGATGGAACGGCTGACCACAGCGAGGGTCGTTACACACTTGATCTGGGACAGCCGCTTCAAGACGATACGAGTAACAGATGCCACACTCCGTGTTGAAACTCTAAACACACACACACACACACAAATAAATGTCCAGCATGTTTGGTTTACACACTATCCATATAAATATCAGAGCTGCTGTAAATCTCTGGGGTCATCCACACATGAACGTATTTTGTGAAAACACAAAAAGGTTATATTGTCGTGCCCTGCAGCTGATTATGTTATGAAGTGGAGGAGCATGACCAGTGGATATTACAGAGCATTTACAAGCAGGAGACCTGAGACCCAGGCTTCACCAATGGAAGCCTTTTTATTTTGTTTAGCCACAGAATTTGCAAAAGAAAGCTAAATTTATTTTAGGGTAAAATGTCTACTCCACAGCTGAACTCTCACTAGCAGCTACCAGTGTGCTAAAGCACCAGAGTGAACAGAAGAGGGTAATGTAGCGATTTGTTTTTATTATGTTTTTTTATTTATTTACCGTTATTTAACCAGGCAAATCCCATTGAGATCCCAGATCTCTTTTTCAAGGGTGGCCTGAAAGCAACCTATTGTACGTGTTTTTGGGGTGTGGGAGAAACGGAAGCACCTGAAGAAAACCCATACAAGCACGAGGAGAACATGCAGTCTCCGCACAGAAAGACCCCAAGTCCGAACCAGGGATCGAACCCAGAGTTTATGGTTTGTAATGGTGAAAGGAAGATGAAAATCATTAACACTTTTATCTTATTCCAGGGAGTGATAACGTGTTTGAAAGTCACAAAAAGGAGAAAAAAACAAGTTTACTTTGCAACTTCAAAAAAATGCTGATCCACATTGTTAGGCAGGCGCCTATGCCTGTGTCCAAACAGAAGTTTAGTTTTAGAAAAAAATGCCCATATATAATAT